CTTGGCCACCGAGCCCATCTGTGACCCACTGGTGGCTGTTTTTGTTGTTGTTGTTGAGCCCAAGTCACGGGATTTTTATAAAAAGCCCAGCGAGAAACCTCAGCCGCCGAGGTGCAGCCGCAGCTTCCTGCAGAGGAACGTTCCGTGGGAAACCTCTGCCACGGGAATCCCGGCCAAATCCCAGCCCTGACACCACAGCTGCTGCCAGAGGGGCAAAGGGGCTGTCAGAAAAACACCAGGAGCAAATCCAGGCTCTGCTTAGGCTCCTGCTGCTGCCACAGGGATGCGCTCTGAGGTTTGGTTATGTGGCAGTGTGAGAGTTTTCTGTCAGGAATGGCTCGTACACCAGCTCTGGGTTAATTATTTGGACAACGGTTTAAGGCAGGATTGGGTTTTAAAAATCCTTCTGATCTTAAAACCTTAAAAAATGAGGGATTAGAGCACTCCATTAAGATAATTAACACCAGGACATTCTCCCACCAGCAAGTCCAACTGAGAGTGGGATCAGAGAGGTTGGAAAAGACCTCCAAGATCATTGAATCCAACATCTGACCCATCAGCACCTCGTTAACCGGAGCAGAAGTAGCAAGGCCTCTCTTTGACTCCCTTTTTTTAATACTGTAATTATTTGGATAACAAATCAATGGAAGCACCAGAGTGATGAGCCTCATGTGACCTTCTGGATCTAAATTAATTAACTTGTGACTGGAAGGTGCCCAAACAGGGTGTCCACCCCTGACCTCTGCTCTGATGGGATTTCATCCCAATAAACAGGCGTCTCCTGAAATATTCCTGACCTCAGCACTGGCTTTAGCAGGTTTTAGGGAAGGGATTCCCAACAGCCCCACGAATCTCTGCGTTCCTGAAGGATCCACTGCAGGAATATTTGTGTGTTCAGAGTGTGCCAAGGCGGGTGGGGAACACCCAGAGCTGCGACACAAACCATTCCCTGGCTTTTCCATGGAATTTTGTTGCAGCTCCACAGACAGGCAGGATGCAGAGCAGCTGGACCTTGTCCACTCACACACAAATAACCCAGCAGCCAGGCAGCACCAGGTAACACCAGGAGAGCTCAGCCCTGGCTCCTCCTGCACCTCTCCCACCCCTCTCCTGCTAATTGGATGAGAATCCAATTAACGAGTCGGTTGATGACTCTGCAGATGAAGGGCTGCGTTATCCAAGTTTATCTTGAGAAGCCAAAGCCAACTGCTGCCAGCGCTCGTGCGTGCTTCAGACCACAAATTATTTTAATTTAGGACACGTATCCCACGTGCATCCACGGAAAACACAAACAACAGGAGTCTGTCACCTCCAAGGCTGCTCTGCAGATCCATCATCTGCTGCTGGAGAGCGGCAGTCAAGGAAGGGATCTGTCTCTGGGAGAAGGAGCTGCCTCTCCAGGAATTCATTTACACGAGGGAAAACAGCTCCTAAGGGAACACAGGGCTCTGCACCCCACCCCACTGACACGGGGCAGGTGGAAAAGGCAAAAACAAGGAGTTATTTCCAGGAGTGTCTGCAATCCGTTCCAGAAAAACAACTGGGATGTGTTAAGGCAGGACAGGACAGGGTGCAGAGGGTTGAGGGAGCCCCAAGATCCACAGCTGGGGGTGGGTTCTGGAGCAGAAATCCTACAGAAACCCCAGTGGGAGCATGGATTTACATCCACTAAAGATCACCTGAGCTGCATTTTCTGTCTTGGACTGCTCCTCACTGACACGAGTGAGGTGGAAAAGGCAAAAACAAGGAGTTACTTCCAGGAACATCTGGGAAGGAATAAACAGGGTGCAGAGGACTTTGGGGGCCACACAGCTGAGGGAGCCCCAAAATCCACACCCGGGGGGGATTTCTGGAGCAGAAATCCTACAGAAACCCCGGTGGGAGCATGGATTTACATCCACTAAAGATCACCTGAGCTGCATTTTCTGCCTTGGACTGCTCCTTCTAAACCTGAGTGGTGACACCCAGCTGGTGACAATCCCCTGTGTGACCCCACAAAGTCCCTGGGAGGGAGGCAGAGAAATCCCACCCTGGATGTTGCTGAGTCCTGAGCTGTGCTTTAAGGTGATCCTGCAGGTCTTTTCCAGCCTCAGTGATTCCCTGGATGTTGTTCAGTTCTGAGCTGTGCTTTAAGGTGATCCTGCAGGTCTTTTCCAGCCTCAGTGATTCCCTGGATGTTGTTCAGTTCTGAGCTGTGCTTTAAGGTGATCCTGCAGGTCTTTTCCAGCCTCAGTCATTCCCTGTCCGTGCCACCAGCTGCACATGCTCCAGGACATGGATTCCTTGGCACTCACCGAGGCCACCAGGGCCCGCATGGACCCTTGGGATGGGGGGAAAACATCTTCCCAAATAAACACACAAACACACCAGCAGCTCTGTGTTTGCAGAGGCCAGGAATAGCTCCCAAAACATGGGAAAACACCGGGATTGGGGAAGCAGAGAGTGGTCAGTGCTCGGGACAGCTGGGGTGAGGCACGTCAGGGTCTTGTTGTCCTGTGGTCACTTGGCCAAGTTGTTTCTCAACCCCTGGGGAGGGGCAGCAATCCAAGGGCACAACATTCCCTCACCTTGGAATTTTTCCCTCTCTCCCTTCTGTCTTTCCTGCTGCACTGGAGAACAAGGCTTCTAGAAGTGGGATGGGAAGACTGGAGCCTGATTTCCCTCATCCAAACAAGGGAAAGTTACTCCAGGTAACACCAGCCTGGGAAAAAGCACAGCCCAGGTGTGCACAGGAGCAGCACCTTTTGCTAAAATCCAACCTAAACCTCCCCTGAGGTGGCTTTGTAATTCAGTCCTTGGGAAGCAACAGGTTCAGATTGTGCTTTGAACAGTGGGACAAGCATTGGATTCATGGGCAACTCCTGCTCATTCACACGGAGCTGCTGAGCAGGGCAGCGGGGCTCCAGCTGTTTGCCATGTAGCCCCCCACACCCCCCGGGGGAAAATCCAGCCAGTTTGCTCACAAAAAACCTACATGGATCATGCAGAATGACAGGATCCTCACCATGGAATGGTCTGGGGTGGAAGGGATTTGGATCATCCACTTCTATCCCCTGCCATGGGCTGGGATGGAGAACACACACACCTTCCAGACCCCCTTTCCCTCCAGGTGTGAGCGTGGATGTACCAGGGAGGGGGACACACCTTCCACACTGCCTTTCCCTCCAGATGTGACCTGGGATGGACTGGGGAGAGGGGCACACACTTTCCAGACCCCCTTTCTATCCAGGAGAAGGGGGGACACACCTTCCGGACCACTTTTCCCTCCGCATGTGACCTGGGATGGACTGGGAAGGGGGACACACCTTCCAGACCCCCTTTCTCTCAGATGTGAGCTGGGATGTACTGGGGAAGGGACACACAGCTTCCACACACCCCTGTCCCTCCAGATGTGAGCTGGAGGCCCAGGGTAACGCCCGGAGCGTAGGGCAGGCCGGCGGTGCCCAGCACTGGGAACGGGGAAAGGGCAGGAATACCGCGGGAGCCGGGCTCCCCTCGCTGCCGGAGGGGGCCGGCTACCCCTCAGCCCCGGGCGGGGGTCGCTCCCGCAGCACTGCGGGCGGCTGAGGGTCCGCGGCGGAGCCCTGAAGGGCCCGTCCGTGAGGCGACCCCAGGCCGCCCCTCCCCGCGGAGCCGGGAACAATAGGCGGTCTCGCCCCCTCCCCACTCACAGGGTCTTGGGCATTTCATCCTCCATGGCGCCGCCGCCGCGGGCCCCGGCTCTTCCCGCCCGCCGGGGCGGCCCCGTGAGCCCTGGGCAGCCCAGGCAGCCCGAGCGGCGCCGGCCCCGCCGGCGGACGGTCCCGCGGCGGCTCCTCGCAAGATGGCGGCGGGCGGGCGGGCTGAGGGGCCGGGGGGGGCGGGGGCGGGAACGCGCGTGCGCGGGGAGAGCGCGGGAACGGCGCGGGGACGCGCGGCCGCTCCGCGCATGCGCGGCCGTGAGGGGAAGGCGAGGAAAGTGGTGAAAATTGATTTAAAATAAAGGCCTTAAAAATAAAGGGGTGAATAAAAATAAAGAATAAGAATAGTAATAAAAAAAATCCGTTAAAAGAACGCAAATTAACATTAAGGAATTAAAAAAATCATTAAAAGGGGTTAAAACCACGGTGGAAAGGGATATGTGGGTCAGGGACATGCAGGCACCAGGAACGGGAATGAAGGGGAATTAAAGTAAAGGGTTTAAAAGCAGAGGAGCTAAACGAGTTTAAAAAGGCGTTTAAAATGAAAAAGTTTAAAAATTACAGGATTAACAATGAAAGAATTGAAAGTCACGGTGAAAAGGGACACGTGGGCATCGGGAACAGCGTACAGGGGAGGAGAAATAAAGTTTATAAAATACAGGGACTAAAATAAAAAATTACGAAAATAAAGTAATTGAAATAAATTAATTAAAATTTATTAATTAAATTAATTTGAAATGAAGGATTTTAAAATGAAATCCTGAATGAAATGAAAAGTGAAGGGTTAAAAAGCGGGGTGAAAAGGTTAGTGTGGGGACCAGGAGCACAGGCCTTGGGTGGTGGGGGAATGAAAATAAAGGAGTTAAAATAAGGCAGCTAAAAATAAAGGAGTTTAAAAGGTAAGGGTTTAAACAAGGAATTTAAAACGAAGGCCTTAAAAATAAAATAATTAAAAGTAAAGGGATTAAAAAGAAAGGAATTAAAAGCAGGGTGAAAAGGTACATTTGGGCACCGAGAAGGGTGGGGCTTTCAACAGGGGCGGGAAAATTAAAATACAGGAGTTAAACGAAAGTGATTAAAAGTAAAGGAAGTAAAAGAAACGACTTTGGAATTGAGAGTAGAGCAAATCAAAGGGAGCTAAAAGAGCTATGCGCCGCCCGGGAATCGAACCCGGGTCGCAAGAATGGGAATCTTGCATGATACCACTACACCAGCGGCGCGGTTGGAATGAGAGTTTCTCTGTGTCCCTCACGTACCCGCCGGCCGCAGCCTGCCCGGGCCGCGCTCTCGGCCCGCCCATCGGCCTCTGCCCTTCTTTCCCGGCGCCATGTCGAGCCTCCGCCGGTCCCTGCCGCTGCTGCTGCTGCTGCTCCCCACGCTCTGCCCGCCCGCCCGGAGCCTCCGCGATGGGCCCACCAGGATCGGTGCGGCGGGTGATGGGCGCGGGGTCAGGGGAGGGGGACTCTGTGAGGGGGAGAGCTGGGGGGGAACTCTTAAGGGGATCTGTCGGAGGGGGTATGGGGGGGGGGGGTCCCTTGAGAGATCTGGGGGGAAACTGTGAGGGGATTTGTGAGGGGCGGGGGGTGCGAGCGGGATCCTTTGAGGGGATCCGTGAGGAAGGTGTGAGGGGAGGAGATCCTTTAAGTGATCTGCCATGGGAGGCCCGTGAGGGGATCTGTGTGGGTCAAAGAGTATGGGGGGGGGTGCCCCTTGAGGGATTTCAAATGGGGGGGGGCGTGAGGGATCTGTGAGGGGGATCCTTTGAGGGGATCTGTGAGGAAGGTGCGATTCGGGGACCCCTCAAGGTCCCTGAAGGTCAGCGGGGCTCCATGAGGGGACCTTTGAGGGGCTGGGGATATGAGGGGAGTCTCTTGAGGGGATCAGGATGGGGGGGCCATGAAGGATCTTAGAGGAGATTCCCTTGAGGGGATCGGGATGGGGGGGCTGTGAGGGATCTTTGAGGGGATTCCCTTGAGGGGATCGGGATGGGGGGCCATGAGGGATCTTTGAGGGGATTCCCTTGAGGGGATCAGGATGGGGGGGCTGTGAGGGATCTTTGAGGGGATTCCCTTGAGGCGATCTGTTGGTCAGGGAGCCCATGAGGGATCTTTGAGGGGATTCCCTTGAGGGGATTGGGATGGGGGGGCCATGAGGGATCTTTGAGGGGATTCCCTTGAGGGGATCTGTTGGTCAGGGAGCCCGTGCGGGATTTGTGAGGGGCAGGGGGAGTGAAGTGGGGGCTCATGAGGGTGTGAAGGTGACCAGGCCGGGCTCTCCCAGCCGTGGTGGGCGGTGGGATCGGCGGCTCGGCCGCCGCGTATTTCCTGCGGCAGAAGTTCGGCCATGGCGTGCAGCTGCACATGCTGGAGAAGGCAGCGGTGGGCGGCCGGCTGGACACGCTGGACGTGGAGGGGGACGCCTATGAGGCAGGGGGGTCCGTGATCCACCCCCTCAACCTGCACATGAAGCATTTTGTCAAGGAGCTGGGTGAGCATGGACCCCCTCCCACCCTGGTGTCTTCCAGCCCAAAGTTGTTCCTCAGTCCCAAAATAATCCCCTTGGGGTGCTCTGGGTCCCACTTTGCTGGGGGACATCCCCTGAAAGAAGAAGGCTTGGTTGCCCCTTATGCATACCCAGTAGCCTTCATATGCATCTCCATTAGTCTCACTTTTTTTCTAATAACCCCCACGTCTTTCCCCAATAGCCCCCCTTTTCCCAGTATCTCCCCCATGTACTTCCCCTAGCAATCACCTTTCTCCAATATCCCTCCTCCACAGGCCACTTTCCTTCCCAAATAGTCCCCCATCATCTCCCCCATGCCCCCTGTGGTAGGCCAGCCCCACTCCAGGCAAAGGAAACCCACATCCCAATGGGAATGGTCTCATCCTTCCCCACAGGTGAGCCACTAATGGCATTATAAAGGTCCAAAAGTCGCCTCCAATCACTCCCTGGCCCATGGTCAAAGGCTAATTCCCCTTTCCGTGCCTTGGGACTCCGATCTTCAGCCACTCGCCCTTATCAGCACGAAGCCAGGTTATCTCAGGAAGTTAAAACTGAGGTGGAATAGCTCTACCTTTCCCTAAATTACCTTTTTCTGTCCTTTTCCCAAAGGCCTCTCGGTCGCCTCAGTGCAGGGCAGCCTCGCGGGTGTTTACAACGGGGAGGAATTTGTGTTTGAGGAGAGCAGCTGGTCCTTCATCAACCTCCTCAAGCTGCTGTGGCACTACGGCCTCAACCCCCTGCGCATGTCCATGTGGGTGGAGGGCATCCTGGACAAGTTCATGAGGTGGGTTTGGGGTCCTGAGAGGGAAAATGTGGGAAAGGACCTTAAAAACACCTAAAAATTCCATGGGCAAGAACAGCTTCCACTATCCCAGGTTGCTCCAAGCCCCATCCAGCCTGGCCGTGGACGCTTCCAGCGATCTAGGGGCAGCCACAGCTCCTCTGGGAAAACTCTGCCAGGACCTCCCCACCCTCATAAAAATCCTCAATATCCAACCTAAACCTCTCGTTTGTCCTGTCCCTCCAGGCCCTTGTCCTGCCACCCCATGAGATCCCTCCCAGGGCCACAGAGCTCATTAACAGAGGCAATTTCTTGTCTGCAATTAAAGGATCTACCGGTACCAGATGCATGACTATGCCTTCAGCAGCAATGAGCGCCTGCTCCACACCCTGGGAGGCGACGACTTCACCCGCCTGCTCAACCAGACCATTGATGAGGCCATGCAGGAAGCGGGATTCTCCCAAAAATTCATCAACGAGGTGGTTTGTCCGGTCATGAGGGTGGATTATGGCCAAGGGGTCGCCGTCAATGGCTTTGTAGGTGAGTGTTTGGAGGTAGCCTCCCATCCTGGGTGTTGGGGTTCCTGCTCTTTGTCCCAGTTTATCCCCCCTGATTTTGCAGTTTGTTTTTCCATGTTTCCCTGCTCTGACGGTGGTGGTTTCCTTGCAGGTGCTGTGTCCCTGGCTGGGGTGCAGTCAGGCCTTTGGTCTGTGAAAGGAGGGAACAAACTTGTCTGTTCTGGCCTCATCTACTCCTCCAAGGCCGAGGTTATCCCGGGAACAGTCGTGTCCATAGAGCCAAAAACCAGCCCCAGGCCTGGCAGTGAGTGCAGCTGGAATTCCCTTCAGTGGGGAGGGGATGGTGATACTGGAGACCAGCCTCAGTCCCTTGGGGATTTTGAGATGGAAATTCCTCCCTGGGAGGGTGGGGAGGGGCTGGCTGTGGCTGCCCCTGGATCCCTGGAAGTGCCCAAGACACTTGGATGGGGCTTGGAGCAAGCTGGGATAGAGGAAGGTGTCCCTGCTATGGAACTGGATGGGCTTTAAGATCCCTTCCTATCCAAACCTTTCCACAATTCCATGAAAACAGGGCTGAAAACCCAGCTGTAGAAGTTTATAAACCCAAACGTGGCAGCATTTTGAAATGCCAGGGATAGCTGGGATTCCCTGAGCAGGGATCAGGATAACCGAGCTGCTCTCCCTCCGCAGGGGACCCGGCCGTGCTCTACCACGTCACCTACAACACGTCCTCGGGGCTCACAGGGGACACCTACGACATCGTGGTCATCGCGGCGCCGCTCGACCGCAAGATGGCCAACATCACCTTCCGCAACTTCAACCCTCCCATCCCGGAATTCCTGAATCCCTACCACCAGACCGTCACCACCTTGGTGCACGGGCGCTTAAACACCTCCTTCTTCGGCTACCGCGACCCCCAGGCTTTTCAGCTGGGGGCCATTTTCACCATGGACAACCCCAAACTGTTCATCAACAGCCTGGGCGTGGTGTCCCCGGTGGGCGGGGAGCCGCCGCTGCGATCAGCCGTCTGGAAGGTGTTTTCCAAGGAAGAGCTGACCAAGGAGCAGCTCGGTTTGCTCTTCTCCTCGTACGACGCGGTGAAGGTGAAGCGCTGGTTGGCGTATCCCCGGTACAGCCCTCCCGAGAAGTTTCCTCCCATCGTCCTGCACGAGCAGCTGTACTACCTGAACGGGCTGGAGCGCGCTGCCAGCGCCATGGAGATGAGCGCCATCGCCGCCCGCAACGCCGCCCTGCTCGCCTTCCACCGCTGGCACGGCCACAGCCACAGCATCGACCAGGAGAACCTGCACGAGAAGCTCAAAACGGAGCTCTGAGACCTCCCCCCAGGGCTTAATTAACACTCACGAGCTCCCTGCTTCGTCCTCTGAGGAGGTGTTTCATAGGATCGTGGGATCCTTGAAGTTGGAAGACTTTCAAGATGATCAAGACCTTCAGGATCATCAAGACCTTCAAGATGATCAAGATCTTCAGGATCATCAAAGATCTTCAAGATGATCAAGATCTTCAGGATCATCAAGACCTTCAAGATGATCAAGATCTTCAGGATCATCAAGATCTTCAAGATGATCAAGATCTTCAGGATCATCAAGACCTTCAAGATGATCAAGACCTTCAAAATGATCAAGATCTTCAGGATCATCAAAGATCTTCAAGATGATCAAGATCTTCAGGATCATCAAGACCTTCAAGATGATCAAGACCTTCAGGATCATCAAGATCTTCAAGATGAACAAGATCTTCAGGAATCATCAAAGATTTTCAAGA